GGCCTTTTTCCCGTCTTGCCGCTATGCATATGGGTCTTTTTCTGCTCTCCTGCTCCCCACGGTTAGTCCCTTTGGACGTCCGTGACAGGTTGCTGATGTCAGCTCCACCCCAAGGGTGAAAATGTGTGGCATCAATTTGCATTTGGTCCAGGTCTTGATGGAATCTTGTGCCCACACCCCAGTTTCAGGCCAAAACGTACCGTATTCCCTGTCCATTGGTGTTCCACTGGTGCAATGTCTGCCCTTAGGTCTTTGTTTCAATGATTGGCATCCACAAAGCTGATCTTCCTCTTTCTTTTAGGGGTTACCTTGTGGAATCATTCCATATCCAATCAATTCTAGCAAAACTTCAGCAAGTGATAACTCACTAAACCTTCTTATCCAATTTCTGTATCAGTACAGTTTGCGTCAAGCTAGTGCAAGTTAACAGCACATGCTGTAGAGTACTAGTATGCTATTCCTTAATACTGTATTTGTTGGCTCGTTTTGTTTGTAATTTGAATTTCACTTGAACTACTGCATTCAAGGAGTATCACAGGAGTCTGTATTAGGACTACTGTCCTAATCTTTATCAGTGACCTAAGTTATGGCAGGGAAACTAGTGAATTCATTGATTACATCAAAAAGTACAATTAGGAAACACAGAAACAGCAAAGAAAATTCTTTAGAACAAAATGAATGTGCAAACAGCTGACAGATAACATTTTAATGTAGAGAGTAACTAAAGATATAAGATGTCAGATACTGACTTTACAGTTTTGGTCACCCCATCGGTAAAAATAATATACAGTACCTTCTCTGGAATCAGGCCAGAGAATTGTAACCAGGTACTGTACATTTTTTGGTCTTAAAAGAATGTTGCTCTCACAGGCTAAAATAAATTAATATTTTTTCTATCAAAGTAAGATATCTACTGTGTGACTTGAGTAATCAAGTATTCAAGTATTCTTCAAGGGTGACGACATTGTTAACCCAGTGGAAGTCTTTAGAATCAGCAGTAAATCACTAACCAGAGGATAAGAGTGGAAACTACAATGAAGCGAGTCTGTAATGATCAATCAGCTTGTAATAGCCAGGGATGAAAGTCAAAGTTTTTATTCAAATATTATTTTTTTTCTTCCATGTATTACTGGAATAACTTAAAACACAAATAAACAGACCCGTGAAATTCAGTCAGTCTTGGACTCCTGCTGGTAAACCTGACTTCAAAATAATTTCTTCTTGCAGCTCTACTGTTTGTACTCTCATTGTGCCTACTTTTTCACTCTTTTTCCACAGATTGTTAATAATCTGTTTTTGCCAAAATTGTTTGTCAGTAAATGAGAAGAAGGCAATTGTTGAATTTCGTTTTAACTTACTCTGGTTTCAACTCTCACCGTCTTATTAAGAATGCCTTTGGCAATTCAACTTTGCAGACAGTTAAACAACACAGGAACAGGGTTTTGAAACCAGTTTCTGAATTTCACATCCCTCATTAGCCATAGCAACTTTGTAAAATTGCAGACTGTGGTATTAGCCTTCTCTGCACTAGCATTATTCTTAGTGTTGCTTATGTGACTTCTTTGCTTTTAAATTCAGTGTTGATAAATTACAGTATATCTAGTGTACTGTCTTTCTGGGCATGCAGTTCTGTATTTAAAAAGAGGTCGCTGACAAAATAAAATTTTAGAGTTCCTATTCTAGATTAAAAGATATGTCTTTGTTCAAAATATTCAAAACTCGAGAAAACGTTCTAATGGATAGTTAAATATTAAACCAGTGCACTTAGAGTTTTTTTTTTCAGTTCAAGAACAAACGCACTTCCGTTTAAAACTGAGAACTCCCTGACATTCAGTTGTGCTCCTTCCCATGGCACATTTAACTGTCAAACTTGTTAGTGCTGGGTTCTGTTGAAGGCAAATGTTTTATGTCATTCAGGGATTAAGGTGAACAGTCACACTCACCAACCACATTTGGGAAATAAGATGATACCACAAAACCAAAATTCTGTATACCAGAATTTAGAATGTAATATTTCTATCCCTTTTATCCTGACAGATGATGATGATGATTCTTATCATGATGATGAAAATAATAATTACATTGAGAATGTATTGATTGGTTTCTCAGGGGTAATCTGGTGTTAATCTTCATTTTAATCTACAGTACTGTATCTCCAACAGTGATTTCCTGTGAACTATTTTAAGTGACATGCATGCATATTTATGGAATCATTGTCTTTTGGAAATGTATGGAATTCCTATGTCTTTTTAAAATAATGATTGTTAATAAGTATAAGCCTGCAGTTCAGTTTAACTATTTTACATTTTACTGTTAACTTTGACCAAACTCCAGTGTAGAACATACTGTACATTTCTGTTATGCTAAAATGAACAAAACTAAAATCTTTTGATTTTGAGTTAATATTTCCAGTTTAATTATTCATTACATTTTATTTTTGCATGTATTTTTCATTGCCTTAAGATGTTCACCCCAAAACATTTGCTTTAATTAAATTAAATAATTACTATGCTCATTTAATTAACTTGGTAAAGCCATTAGCAAAGCAAATCACTTTCAACACATTTACCTTTCGTGGAGAAATTAAGTCAGTTTGGTTGCATGACCTATATCATTCATGTATTCAAGAGGATTTCATTTACTTTCAATTAACAATTGACCTAGAAACATATGATTAAAAATTCACATAATTAAATTGAAGATTATCACCTTGGATAAAAAAGGTTTTCCAATTTTTTGGGTTTTTCCAAATGCTAGACAATGGCTTACATGATCAGAATCATGGTTACTGAATCAAAATGTAAAATCTCCCATGTATTTAGTCAGTATATATTGTGATGCCGCTTGGGACATCCCACAACAGGGGCACAGATTCTAGGCGGGGCCCTGAACAAGTATATGGCTGGGACTAGGAACAGTAGAAAGAGGGGTTGTGGTCCATTGAGACCACAGCAAAGGGTGGGACAGAGGTGGTGTGTGGGCATAGGACACTACCTGTGGCTATGATGGTATTCTAGTAATTTGCCTCATGTGTAAACAACAGAGGAAAAAAATATTGCCAGTCTTCAGGTCTAAAGCTAGTAAGTATAACAGCAGAGGTGTTGGAGCCATCAGCCCAGCTGTATTTATGAAAAAAATATATTGAGCTGTGTTATGGCCAAGGCTATTGTTAAATGGGAAAAATATCATAGCCAGTCTTCAACTCTGAAGCTGGTAAAAATAAACAGCCTTTGCTGTTGCAGCAAAATGGCTCTTCAGCCTTCAAGATGGCAAAAATAAGAAGCTCGTACTGTAGCAGGTGTTTGTTAGAATTGTAATAAAGCTGCATATACTGTACAAAAAGGAAAAACAAATGTAAACAGTCTGCACCATAACAAGAGGCTGTTGTATTAGCAGCAAAGCTGCTCTTCAGCCATAAAGCTGGGATTGTAGCAGGGAAAAAACATAAGTGAAAATTATTGTAGAAAGAATTATTAAAGTTTACCTGTGCCTGTGGCAAGGTCGAAGCTGTGCCTGAGATGATGATCTGTTGGAGTTTGTCCTCAGACTTCTTCTTAGTTCAGCATTCTGTTTATCTAGACATCTGATGCATACTTCCAGAGATTCTTGGTGTCCTGTCTCCTGTGAGCTGGAAAAATGTGAGAGGCAGATTTTAACTTATGGATTCTCTATACTGTATATAAGTCTATATACACCTGTGGAATCTACAGTATATACTGTAAACAATGAAATGGCAAGTTCTTTTAACACGGTTCAAATACTTAACTTGAAACTAGTCTTAAACGCTGATCAGAACAAGGACCTCCCTGCCTGGTACTGTCTCTTCTTCTCTTCCCTTGTGTCTTGCTGTCCTTTATCCTGTGTCCTCCTTTTCTCACTTCCTACCTGACTGTTTTATCCTCTGTTTCGCAACTGTTTTACTGTTGATCAGTTATTTACACGGAACTTAATTACACAGCCATACCAGACGATTCCTTTGATCAGAGTACCTCTGACCCCAGTAATCTCTTCAGTTCCTTTCTTGCTTTGAAGCACCTGAGAATGACAAATGTTGACACTAGCTAGATATTGTCCCTAGATATTCAGATATTCATTTGAAGTAATTCAAAGGCAAATAGCAAAGAAATGTATTTTGAAAACAATAAGGAAACAACTTATAATTCCCCAAAGCTACCATGACTATGTACAGTAATAATGTGCTCTTAAGGAAGAAAGAAAGGCTTTTTCTGTAAGGAAAAAAAATGTAGAGGGAAATAGTATTAACGTATTTCTTTTCGTGGATTTCACACTGAGAATTTTGCAGAGCAAGGAGATGCTTTCCATTTAATTTACAGGGTTTTGAGAAGCACTGTTAGTGACACAGCAGTTCCATCTTTTCACTCCTTCAATGGGTGACCAGGACTGTTCCAGCATCACATCAAGCTTGAAAAGAGCTTCAAATTCACAAACAGGAGTCCAGATGTGGGTCTGGAAACTGAACAACACATATCACCTAAACAATGTACATTTCTCTGAGATGCTTTCAAAAGCTTCATATTCATCAGCTGTCTCAGGTGATTTAAAACTATTTGTCCTTGTGTAAATTGTAAGTCCAACTACAGTACTGCTCTAACAATTAATCAGTTGCTGATATGGAGGACTCAGTGCATAATTAATGTGACCCCTCCATAACCATTCATTTTCCATTGTAGTAGTTTCTTGGTTCACCTTACTTTGGAGAACTCCTCTTTCATATTCCCAGATATTACCCCTTTGGCCAAGTATGTTGAAGCCAAAGACATGCTGAATGCATTCACATAACACAGGACTTCGACCACTGGCAGGATTCCTGGAGAAGATCCTATATTTCTTTGATAGACTGTATTCCTTGATAGACAGTATTGGATTAGAGTAGAGTTTCACTATTTCACAGTACTCATATGGTATGAATTAGTAACAGTGTGGAGAACTTATACACGGGCATTATTGTTAATCCATTGCCTCTAAAAGTGCTCTGATTGCTGTTTCTAATATGTAAAGAAATACCACAAGAAGAGTTATTTGTTCTATTTCTTTAATAATTATTCAAATATATTTGAGCACACGTTAGGATGGCTGAGTGATTTGCATATGCAGAGACCATTAGTGACCACACCAAGCTCCTTACAAACACCTTGCATTTTAAAGTAAAAAATGAAATGATAAACATCTAAATACATTTTAATTTTCTCGTAAAAGTGGAATGATATTTGACATTAAATAAAAGTTTTAGTCCACTGAAATTCTTAACCTTACTTGCAGTATTATTTTAATAGCTTATTTATTAAATAACTATTTTAATAGTTATTAAGTAAATTAATAAGTAAATTATTATTAAGTAAGTAAGTTAATAACTAATTACTTATATTAATAATTATATTGTACTGTACAATGTTAGTTATATTTAATAGATAATTATCTAAGAGGTACATGTTAATTAAACTACAGTACTCCAGACTGCTAAAATACATTGACAAGTAATAATGCTACTGTACCGTGCAATACAAATCCTATATTTTTTTGCTGTTTTATTAGTAACGATCCATTAAATACTGTATGTTATAAAAAAAGACTGAACCAAAGAGCATTGTAAGTGAAATGTCTGTAAGGGTGAGAAGCCAAATGAATGCCTCCACAATGCTGTCTAAATGGCTTACAGCTCCAAATCATTTGTCTGTTGTTAAAATAGTTCAACAAACTGTTGAATAAGTCATCAGAACTATTAACATATATTTCATGTTAGACATTGACTCATGGTGGTGCCTGTGAGTTTTTTTTTCATTTTTATTCTATTTTATTTTAGGAAGCTGTCAAGCCATTCAGGGATAAGGTTTTAGATCTTCTTCTATATATTAATAGCTCTGCTAATTGCAACTCCGCTGAAGCTTAGAGGAACAGTCTTTGTTTAAAAAAAGAACAAAAAAATCTTCTAATTTAGCTCAACTTTTGTCAGCCATTAAAAAAGCATCAGAATAGGCCGTGTGTATGTAAAATATTTTCCATCTATTTCTGGTGTTTAGAGTTTTATCATGGATTAAAACAACAGGAAATTTAACTTTATTAGCTGCTGAATGTGATTGTGAATCTATGATTTTTACAGTATAAACTACATAAAGAATCAAAGAATTACTAAGGTGGTTGTCAACTCTTGAATTCTCATGATCAGTTCTTTTTCCCATTATAATTCATAATGTAGGTGACGTTTTAGCATTCCAGTTTAATGGGATTTTAGTCTTCAGTCATTGGAATAAATTGAATAAATGACCTGATTTGTAGTTTAAATTAGAGGGATATGATCAAATAGACATAGATTTAAATGATAGAAAATGTGGGTAAAATATATAAATATGTTTATTTATGTATACTTGCTCATAAGTTGCCAAGTGAATATCATACTAGCCTAATTTCACAAATTCAAACTATTGATTTATTTTTAACTGTGCAGTAATTATCAGGATTTTAAGAATGTTTTTTCTACTCCCTTATCTTGTCATTATCATCTGATTGGTAATAGGTTTTAAAACAAGAATGGGACCTTTATAAAGGGAAAGGTAAAGTAGACATTAATGTACAAATACTGAGGGCAGTATAAAAGAGTTTGTTGCCCTTGTTCTAGATATGTATGGCATAGATATTAGAATAACATCTACTGACACTATCAGATATGACACAATACACCATTAAAGCCATTAAGGTTCTGGTTCATTGTAATGGATGAAGTCTGGAGGTTAAATATAGAGTAAATGTATATATATATTTTATTTATCAACATAAATAATGTTGCTTAAACTACATGCTTTCAATGAAAATGGAGGTCCATAGGAGAGGACACATTGTAATTACTATAAGAACATTGCCATTAAGAACCATAAGGGCACTGCCATTAGGTGTTTCCTGTACATAAACCCGAGCACATCTATTTGGATATGGGGATAGGGCTTCACATTCTGTACATGTGCATTGGACACACTCAAATCAATAACCTTACAGTTCATGCTATTATAGTTATCAATAGTGTTCCAATTAGATTCTCTGTAGTAAATAACACAGCAATAACCTCTTCGAGGCAAATGTCAATAAGATATTGTGCAACTGTCCATGTTACAAAGAAGCAAACATATCAGGGGATCAATAGGGAATCTCCCACTGCATCTATGAGATATTTAATGGAACAGGGCTGCTCTCTCTGTTACTGTGTTTATAGAGGGTTAAATGTCTACCTAGCCTGTACCCTCAATAGGAGACAGTTCTTATTCTCTAAATGGGTTTGAGAGCTGATAATTCTCCATGAGTCAAAGGTATTAAACTGCTTAACAGTATTTTTATGCAGAAGAACTGCAATGTTTGACAAAGGATTTTCCTTCTTTGCTTTTTCTTAATGTTTTATGATATATACTGTAAACACAGTTTGATTTAGAAAGCCTTTATCGAGTGTTTCTTAAAGGGACGTCAGTATTTAATACAGTACCTAAAGCATGTTTGTGTGTGTGTATGAAGGGGAAAATCATGCAAGAGTGGTGTATGCAGTTTTTCCCCTGCTCTGATTTAATTAACTTCTCTCAGGCATGTGCCAGTCCTGAGCCACATTAAGCAATCTCTGACAGTAGTCAGTTTTGCGAAGTCAAAAGGAATCCCCCATATGGAGGAATTCAAGGCTCTCTTGGTTCCTATGGCATTGTGTCACTGTAACACATTCAAAGACTAAATGGCTGGGCTACACACGGAATTTCCAAACTATATTCTGTTCACAGAAGTTTGTATGTTACTTTGTCCCTAACCAGCAGGGGGCGTCCACCCTGTGGTCTGTGTGGGTCCTAATGCCCAAATATAGTGGCGAGGACACTATACTCTAGTGGGCGCTGTCTTTCAGATGAGGCGTTAAAACGAGGTCCTGATTCTCAGTGGTCATTAAAGATACCCGGGTAATTCTCAGTAAGAGTAGAGAGTTATCCCGGTGTCCGGGCTGAATTTCCTCCCTTGGCCTTTCCCGTGGCCTCCGTCCAGGGTGTACCCTGCCTTGCGCTCGTTGCTTGCTGGGTAGGCTCCGGCTTCCCGCGACACCGTATGGTATAAAGTGGCTTGGTAAATGACATGACATAACGTTGTCCCTAATTTCATGACATACAATCAGACATGACGTGCATGAATAACATTAGGTGATTGTTTTTCTTAATGTAATTTGGTGTTTGTTTTGTTTTTCCTATAGAATTTTTACATTGAACATGTGGTTTGGATATTTGTTGTACTTTAAGTACGATCAAGAAAAATATAAGTTTTTATATTTTAAAACTTAAAAATGTTTTGATTTGTTAATCCTGAAAACTGGATACATTTGACATAATGGACCTGTGTTTGGTAAATAATGTCATGAAAAGGTATTACTGAGGATGTCAGGTTGCCATTTCAAGGTTTGCATGGATTAAATACGTATATCAAAAAAGATACTTAGAACAGTAACAAATTTAGAAAGTTCTTATCAAGTAAATATCCTTTTTTTGTAGCAGGTGTACTTTTGTTTTATTGAACAGACATGCCACAGGCAAATGTATTATGCTGATGTGTCAACAGGGCTTAACTGTGAAAGTCAGGCTTTTAGTGTGAATCGCCACAGTTGGAAACAATACAAGCTGTCAAGCTGTATTCTGAGATGCATGCTTTGCACCAGGTTGCGAATGCTATCTTAGGGGATGCTGCTCCATTCCTCTTGAATAGCCTGGACAAGTGTATGGTTGTTCACTGCCCTCTGAGTCCTAGATGATGCATGGAGTCATGTCTGCTGGAAAAGGCATTTATAGCATAAATGTCACATTCACATTTTGCAGGAAAGCA